AAGCACAGGATCGCGACGGACCTCAGCATAGACATCTGGGAGCTCAGATCCTAGTTCCGCTGGAACATTGCCGCCGGCGGGGTTGGACGCCCCGAAGCTGAAAGCCATTCTTAGTCTGTCAAAGTCGGCTGATATTGAACGGGGACGGTCGCCTAATGATACCCTGCTCTTTGGAGCATGGGGAGAAGGGGGGCTCTGTGGTAAAGATGAAAATGAGCGACGCTGGAGTGCTTGGGGACTCCGGTTAAAAAGTTGCCAAGTGCGCGCAAAAATCTTGAATACCTCCCCTCAAGGGAAGGGAGAATTGTAAAGAGGGAGAGGATGGGTATACTACAGAGTAAAACCTGCACACCGAAACCGAGCGATGTAAACAAAAAAAGCCACGCGGCTCTGTGACTGGTAGTTGACAGCAGGCAAGCAATTAAAAGCAATGGCGGCGGACGATCTCGACGGGCAAAAACAGCAAGAGCTTCTGACGGGCCGAGCGTCTTTAATGCCTGAGGCACTGAGATCAGGCTGCGGGAGCTTCGTCACTCCAGCTCGACCTCGCCGCCATCACCAACCGACTAGCTACAGCTGTTTCCTTCTCATCCCCGTCACCTTCCTTATCACCCGCCTGTCCTGCATAGCTCGATAAGGTGAAGCCCTTCGTATCTTGAATCCACTTGGCCGTCCCTCTATCCAATCTATAATTACTCCACGCCGACACCATGACCGGCTTTGACTTCTCCAACTACAACCGCAACGCGGCTCTCCACGCCAAGGGAGTGCCTCTACCTAAGGCTACAAGCACAGGTACCACTATTGTGGGCTGTATCTTTGACAATGGTGTTGTGGTATGTTATACCCGGATTCTGATAGTGATCCTGCAACCCTTTGTCTTTCGAAGCTGACCCTCATCACAGATTGCGGCAGATACCAGAGCTACTAGCGGACCCATTGTAGCGGACAAGGTACGACCCGATCATAAGCTTACCATATCCTCCGTCTTCCGTGGCAGCCACCATTATTACGTGATAAGCAGCTTTACTAATAGTACTTGGGGGGATATATAGAACTGCGAGAAGTTACATTATATTTCGCCCAAGATCTGGTGTGCTGGTGCTGGTACAGCTGCAGACACGGAGTTCACCACCGCCCTGATTAGTTCAAACATCGAACTGCACTCCCTCTCAACGGGCCGGGACCCTCGAGTAATCACTTGCATGACCATGTTGAAGCAGCACCTCTTCCGCTACCAGGGACACATTGGTGCATATCTGGTGGTAGCTGGTGTTGACCCGACTGGCACCGGTTTGTACACAGTCCACGCCCACGGTTCGACAGATAAACTTCCGTATGTGACTATGGGTTCTGGATCGTTGGCGGCCATGTCCGTTTTTGAGTCGACGTGGAAGGCAAACCTGAACCGCGAGGAAGCGGTCGAGCTCTGTGCTGAGGCGATCAAGGCTGGTATTTTCAACGATTTGGGATCGGGTAGCAATGTCGACGTTTGTGTCATTGAGAAGGACAAGCCCACGCAACTCCTGCGGAACTATATCAAGCCCAACGAGCGTGGTGAAAAGGAACGCAATTACCGCTTCCCCAGAGGCACGACGGCCTATTTGAACCAGAAGATTATTAGCAAGGAGGATATGAGGAAATATGTCACTGTGGAAGAGGCTTCCGGGGACCCTAATCTGATGGAGGTGGACTCGTGAGTTAGAAAGTAAACCGATATTTGTCAGAGCCTTATTATTTATTACATTGAATCACGCACGAAGGAATTACATGATGAGTATTTCGCAATAGTTTTGGTTTCTATTATTATTCAGTATAGAGCCTGCGAACCAAACACGTGTAAATATACAGGTCCCCTCTGACAGTCGGTAGGTGTTGGTTGAATACTGGAGAACACATTTCTCAATCGATATTCAACCGATCAAATTTATCTGCTAACAATTGCATAATTGTATTTACAAAAGTAATGTAGTATACACAACGTCAAAAGACAACTGGGTATATTTCATAATCGCTCCAAAAGTTTGTACAGAACACAAGCGTTCCGTATTATCTTTTAAATCCCAGAGAAGACGAGACGAGGGTCATTGCAACTCAAGCTGACTAGCGTATGAATCAGATTGGCCAACCCTTGGCACCATGATATCTAGGACTTCGGGTCCTTCGACCTCCTCCACAAGATCTAATATATATGCGTATTGCATGGATGAAAGGCGCAGCCCCTCCCTTCGGTACCGTACCACCCCGACATGGTACATAGCACGCACAAGGGAAGGTTTCACGGGCGCACCGTGTTTTACTAAGAAACGATAGAGCCATTGAATCAGGCCGTAAGCACGGCGTGCACTCAGCTGCTTCGAGCTAGCAATAGATATGGCGATGAGGTGCACCATATCAAGGGCGGCGTGGGGATCTGGGCACTCGCTGGTTCTAGCCTCCGGATAGTAGCGTACAAGGGCCTTTTGAGAAGCGTCTGGAACAGGCCCCCATGATCTTGACAAGGCGATTTTCAGAGGTGTGTGACAACGGAGTAGCCGAATTAAAGTCCAGACATTCTGAGAATCGCCGGTACTTGCAATCTGGATACTGTTCTCCAGGAATGAAGGGCTGGTAACATTAATTTGCCGGACCAACCTTTCGAAGTCCGAAAAGAGGTGAGGAACTGTCTTCCTGTAAGCATCCCCATTTGCGAAGATGTCCAGAAGTGAGACGTTTGATGACTCTAGCCTATTCAAAGTACGCCGGGTCGCTTTTGTCATCCGCTTTCCGGTAGTCAAGTGAACGGATAGCATCAAAAGACCGCTAGGTGGTATACCCAGGTCATGGATTCCTCCTACGAGGCTGCTCAAAAAGCTCTCTGCGTTGAAATTGTCCACGCGGCTTTTGTAGAGGCTCAGAAGGCGGGATACAGGATAATCTGTGGCCCTCACAACATGTCGCCATAGTGGCCCTTCAGGAAGGTATTCGCTAAAGGTTCGCAAGACCCAGAGTCGCAAAATTATCCGTTGTTCCTGTGTCAAACAAGAGGTACTGAGTGATGTGGTGACTGGCATGTCACTCCAGGCAGACGAGGAAACAAGGCCGGGGATGTTCTGAAGACGGCGTAAGTGGTCCTGCCACATCTCAAACAGGTGCTGTTTCCGGGACGCAGCCAGTAATTCGGTAACAGAGATTATGCAAAGAGAGGCCTCATCAGGTGTAAAGCAATTCAAGAGCCCGCTTATGTAGTCACCGTCCGTTTTATGATCCAAGGAGAACTTCAAGAACCGTGTAATGAACAACGGAGCCCAAGAACGATCTTGCGTCGCGCTGATTATGTCTCTTGCCAAGATAAAAGAGTCGTACATGTCCATCTTCTCCAATCCCTCCAGCCATGTCTCAATTGTTTCTGTATCCAGGTTTTCGTATTCGTAGATATTGCACCTTCCAATCGCATCCCACATCCTCCTATAGTAAGCTGTCAGAATTCTCGCGTCCCGTTGTCTCACCACATCATCTCCAATGACTCTTTCAAACAGAACCCTTATGATCTGGCATAATTCATTTTCAGGCACTCTTCCCAGCTCCAGTGCCGTAGTAACGTTGCCTAGGAGAACGGACCGTTTGGATAGGTCTGCACCGCGAGAAACGAAATGCTCCACTGTGCAAAGATAATTCCCTGCTCCCCGAGTGTTCAAGTGCGGATCATCTAGAAACTCAATGAGCCCGTCGGTGGCGCACGTGTGGTTGATCGATTGCGACAGTAGATGCTCGAATATTAACCGGCTGTATGCAGGCTCCTGCTGAAGATCGATTCGCAGTTTTCGAACAACATCCTTGATGGCCGTTATCGTCTGACAGTCCTTCAAAGATTCCGCCAAGCATTGCTCGAGAGACGCCTTGTCGGCCAGATATGAAGATCCCTGCCACCCGGATGATCTGGAGAGTTCATTCGATTCGGTGGTCTCATTGTAAAAGGGCAAAGGATAAGCCGGTGCACCCATTGCGTAAAAAGCTGACCCTGAAATACATTAGATACTCTGCTGGATGCCAATTGAGCATATATACTCTTATCCGATAGGCGCCTACCTTGAGCCTCACGCGGTGCGTTCCGTGATTGCCCACCAACCCATTTCATGTGCTCCCGTCCATTGCGCCCAAACAAACACCCAATGTCATCCAGTGGCCCCGACCCCACTAGACTAGCCAGTGCAGTATTCCTTCTTTTTGCTAACCGTCTCCGTGCTTCTAGAGGTCCCGGCACTCGGCTCTCATAGCGTCTTTGGCCGTTTGCGAACCGTCGGAACGTTGACGCGAGGAAATCTTCGCTAATCCATACATGATCAACTAAGGAGTGTGAGGAAGGCGGTACAGCATGCCTATATGCATGTCTACCGAAAGACATGAGGGAACGAAAGCATGCGACAGCAATTGAATGCCCGAGAGCTGTCGGTAGCTATGGGTGACTAGGGAATCGTTGACGGAGGAAAGTTGCTCACGGAGTTCCCCAGTCGGGCTGACTAAGCTATGGTCCGCACCAACCAGAATTGTCCGATTTACATACCTCAGGCTGCACTTCTGTGCCCTTGCATAGAAACCCAGATAAATGCTGCCTTGGTTGTTCTTGGTCGTCTTATATTGCAAAATATTGGCAACTATGGCCCTTGTGACTATATATATATAGATCCATTCATTCAGATGTCTTCTCAGCCCTGAGCTAGTGACTGCTTAATGACAGTCTTCAGCGCAGATGCTCTTTTCAAAGCCATGAGATATATTTAGCAGTGAAGGAAGATTGAAATAGCCAAAGAGAAACTAAAGAGAAAATCAAAGCGGAGGAGGATGTGGCAAGCAACAATGAATAAAGGGGAAGAGCGCCCTGCACGCCTTCCCATGCATAACTTTTTTCAGTCAATGGTATCTTATGCTAATGCACGCCAATAAAACCAACAAATCGAGAGAAAAGTAAGGTCAAAAGTGTATATAAACAGGAGAGTTTGGAGAAGTGATGAGGGGATACATCATGGATTTTGCTCCCCTGGTAGTGGCTTTCGTCCCGTCACGACAAAAAAGTCCAAGTAACTGTGAACGTCGCGGTTCTGGATACTTTTCCTGACGTCAACCAGGAATACCTCGATTTCGGGTTTCGACCAGCCCAAGGCAGTAAGAGGTTTGTAGGACCATCCCGATAAGGCTTCTAGCCAGTTTGCCTCATTCCATTTGCCAATTTCTTTCATGTGCGGGTCGGTAGGCCATGGGTTGTTCGGAACTTTCTTGATGCGTTCTTGTACATCCACAAATCCAACCTCTCTCATCCAACGAGCAATTCTGTGGGCTACACGAAACTGCCGTGGGGGATCTGTGATCTGGCCAGAGCGGATGTTTAGATCACACCAGTCGTGCAGAGCAAATTCACTGAACTTTTCAGGGTCGTCCGGTGGCATTGTGCCGTCATCGCACTTTGGTTTCGGGTCGAATTCATGGCATTCCATATAGCCTCCTGGCTTCAGGTGATTCAAAGCCTTGCGTAGGAGTTCTTTAAATGAGGGTAAGGATCCTGACATGTGCCCTGTGTGGATGAGGTCAAAGTGGTCGGAGCCCCATAACCATTCATCTTCAGTAGCATCATCCACTAGAAAGTGAACGTTTTCAGGAACTTCGTTTGGTTGAACGGGCGAAAGATCGGTGCCTATTATCTCGGCTTCTGGGAAGACGGGCGCTGCGTAGAAAGAAAATGGTAAGGGATTGTTCGAAAGTGGCGTCGAGATACGGAAGGAATACTTACCCATCTCGATGGGCCATATTCCAGAGCCAGTGCCGATATCAAGGATTCGCTTGGGGTGTTCTAGTGGAGCAAGAAACAGGCGTCCGTCGTTGACCATTTTTATCATATGGTGTTGCATGTCCAACCGATCCAGCTCCTGCTCATCGTTCGGGTATATATACGCTGAAAATGTTAGTCAGAGAGCTCAAGAACATCATGTTATCAAGAGCAGACAACATACATCCTTCATGGTACTTATGGTATCGTCTGCCATTCTCAATGGGATAATCTGTTACACTGGCCGTCAATGACTGAGTGTCACTGTTTACAGCTATTAGTTCCAAGGTTCCAAGCAACTCAGTCCTACTTTGACTATGGCTGAATTGGACAGGCGTCATGAGGTGAATATTAGAGACTTACTAGTCACGACTAGATTCCTGAGACATTATTAGTGAGTGTCACTTGAGTGGTACGAAGCAAGATGATGAGGGCTGGATTTATGGGAAAGCAGCCGTTACTTTTAACAACTGAGCGTGAAACAGAGGGATTGTGATGGAACTAAGAAAGGGAAAGGCTTACAGCCGGCCTTGCACCCATACTGACGGGTTCTGCGCTCTGGGGCTAGGAAATTGACCTCGAGTGGGGTGGCTATTAGTTTTCAAAATCAAACAACCGGGAGGATCAGTTGGAAGAAGAGACCAAGAGATAGGAGCCAAACTCGACGGCTTATTGGTGATCAATATTTACAAGAAGACAGGTGATAGGAATGATATTGATGAAGAATAATGGCGATCCCAGTTATAATTATCACCATATGCAGTGCAGAACGCGCATATGAAACAGTGCGAAATTCGATACTTTCGGTGCCACGGAACTAGAAAAAGAATTATACTTAAAGTAGCCTGGTACTCGGTAGGCTCATGCCATTCCTCCCCAGCTAGTCTAGACAGGGGGGACCCGATCGTGTGGGTTAGGGACTCCGTTGATTTAGAAGGGTAACCGGACACCGTACGGAGTCGTAACCTAGTGGTCGGCTGCCTTTTCCTTCTTTTTTAATTTCCTTCCTCGAACCCGGCAGCATGGATTAAGTTTGACTTTAGCAGGACGGAGTTAATCATAACCTAAAAGGATGAGAGCGAAGAAAATCACTTTGTAATAGTAATGTGCTTAGGGGGCCTTTTTTTTAAAACAGGCGGCCATGCCGATAATTATTGCATAATTCTTGTCCTTCTTTAGAAAATTTTCAACCAGAAAATTGACAAGGGGCAAAAGGTTAAAAAAAATTAAACAAAAGAAAACGGAAAAAAAACTTATAGAGTTATCAGGTCGATGTACTGTATATCCGCAATTTGTAAATACAATACAGGATGTGTCAAATTATCTTGAACGGTTCGGGCGGCGGCGGGAGGAAAAAATAATAAAATTAAAACAAGAAGTCAATGAGAAAATTACCCACTCCATTGGGATTTCAAAGAGTATCCGTACTAGAGCTGCTCTTCGGAAACTTTTCTTTCATGCAGTGTACGGTCCATATGAACGGGAACTACTGTAGATAGTCAACTCACTCGACTCTAAGATGTCGACAGTCATCACCTCAAGACAAGCATTTCATTTGTTCGTCTGATTTCTGTGTACAACATTACAAACACTTGCGAAAATCACAAGGCATCTCAGAAGCCCCTTCTCGAGCGGGCAAAAGGCCCACTAACCATGTGTAAAGAGCATAAACCAGTAGTTTAGTATATACTATAGCACAAACTAATGCTCTAACCATGAGTCGGCTTCTTGTGTAACCGGTATACCCCTGCCAGCTGGTCCCGGCTCTTAAGAACTAAGGAGAAAAAGCACGGGCGTCCCAAGCTGCCGGGAGAGTCAGTGACAAGAACGAGGACAATACGAAGTGGGCAAATCAGTGGTGGCTTGTAAGTTCTAACTTCGGTACGTCAGGCAGAAACAACCTAGCAGGGAAGAGGGTCCAGCAGCCCTTTCACATCGGTCAAGCCACACTTATCATTGCTACCTAATAACAAAGTACTGTCTAGTTGCCAGGTAGTGGTAAGAGAACAGTACCACTAGTACCGTACAGAGGTAAGAGTGAAATGATCTTCAACAGAAGCCGGGATCCAATGACTGTTGGTACCACACTGCTGGGAATTTTCCATCCATGGGTCGCTCTTTATTCCATAAGACGACTGGAGCCATTGGATGACGCTATGCATGGGTTTGGCATTGTCCTATCAGGATGACCGCGGATGATTTATGGCAGTCGCCCGAATTCAAATTTATAGATAATTGAAAGAAAGGAAAAAAGCAAATATAGCCTAAGTCGACCAACAAGCAAGTCCCCTTTCCCAACCGCCCGTGATTGACAGACGCCTCCTCTTTTGTATTTCACTTTAATTTTCTCCGTGGTGACACAGGTGAAGGAAAGTTACCGCTATCCAGGCTGTCGGATCCCTGACCCACCCACACCGACGGAATTACCCTCCACTTCTGTCCCACTTAAAACTCCAAGTTTCTCTCCGCCGGGAACCCCCCTTTATTATCACTATTTGAAATACTGTTTCGGCAGAGGACACCGTTTGTAACCTGGTCAAATATGAGACTTTTTAAAAAGTCGGCTCTTATTCTTTTTCCGCTATTTGTATTAGCGTTATTACTAATGATATTCTAGTGTATTATCGCTCCACTTTAAAACCTCGGAGCAACATCCGCATTAAAGAGTACTAGTATTCGCAATCTATGGGATACACTCATCCCATGTCCATGTTCTTCCCGAGTAACCGCCACGGTGTAGGCAGGACATGATCTTTTTTTCCCTCATCGCAGATTACACAACCTTGCAAAGCACGACTAATCAAGTCTGTAGACCACTGAGTAGTAGGCTATCTCAGCTTTCTCAGCCAGGGGTCTTGAGGTAAATTGTAGAATGCGCCCCGCCGATTATGCCCGTGGCATCCGCTCGGGACAAGTTCGAGAAGAGCAGTCAAGCGAGATGAATCTTGTATCCTTGGTTCAAAGTCCCGGGCGTACCATACATAAGGAATGTTGGTCCGACGCATGTCCCTTACATACTCCTGTATCAACTAGTTAGAGTATTTCAGGCGACGGAATAAGGAAGAAAAACAGATGGAGAGAGCATCCATTATCTGGCAGTGACCAAATCTTACCCGAGGCCAATTACACTGAAATGGACGCACCTGCAGCTGATAGAGCGTTTGGTGAATTGCTCCTGTACTCAATGTATGGTACCCTAAAATTTTAAGTACTTGGTAGACCTCCACTGCTCGCGAATACGGTAGGAGGGGCCTCGGTTGTACGCTTCTACTGGTTCTTCTTAGAGAATTCCTGTCGTTGATTGGTAGATGTACAGTAAATAGTTGAAAACACGACACCTTAAGGATCTACTAGCCACCTTTCGGAATACGGCGGTTGTGGATCTATTGCAGAGTACGGAGTATAAACAATAATTTTCCCAACAGGAACAATTGTAGTCCAAGTAAAATTCCGATTGATAGAGGCTGGTATATAACGGACACATACACTCTCAAAACATATGCCACAGAGTAATCCTCATTGTACTCAGATCCTATGCTGAGTTCACCACCTCCCATTCAACGCTCAATATATATGCACGTAGTGTCAATGCACAACCGAGTACGGTTAGGGGAACCACGATCAAACGCAGTACCGTACTACCGTGACTCTATCTACACGTAGAGCACGCTGTTATACTGGGTATATTTCGCAATATTGTTGACGCGGCACATAGTGTCGAGTATCGCATCGTGTACTCCATAATCTTCCCCATATAAATTTCCGAGTGCATCGGCGTTTACCGACTGTGACGCGTAAGGAATATACATTGGAACGTGACAATGGCACTATTTTTTCGCACGAAAGCTTGTACCCTTTAATGATATGGTGACCTCGGGAATTCCTCGGATGCCTTGGTCTTAGGAGAAAGATGAGATAGACTACGCCACCCGCTCAACTATTTGATGATCGTTAACTACTTGGTACCTCAGTAGTCCTCCAGTATGCACAGAGATTCAAATACAAGGTTATCGGAGCATCTTACCTATTGCAAGGCTGATGAAGCGTGCATCAAGGCTGCAGCACCCTTTCGTAGGGGAACTGGATTTCCAAGGTGCAGAAGGCTGTCGTGGGCGCCGCCCAGCGGCCTTAAACTCTGACAAATCTAAGCAACTTACCCGGGCAATAGGGTGGAGACAAGTGCTGTCAACAGTCGATTGGTGATTCCTCTCGGGGATTGGAATTTTTCAGCTCAGCACTCCTCTACTAATCCATAGTGTGCTGCTACTAGTTCCTAGTAAAGCATAGTGATGTTGGCTACTGCACGGTGGGTATATCCATCTGTTGGTAGATGAGACAAGTCATCTCAACGGCTGTTTGACCCCATCTCCCCCTCTCATGTTGTGTATCACTGTGAGCCGTCCCATCTACGTGCCTTAACAATGTTCACTGGGCAGTTTCGTCCTCTATTACCATTGTGAGCAGCTGTCCATTGACTCTAATTTTCGGGTCACGGCCGCGAGCAGATTTACATTGTTGAGAGAAGTTTCAGGTGGAAACTCGTAGGTAGTGAAAGAAACAGGCGAAAAATTTTCTCAATCAGACGAACAACGCCCCGACCTTCAATCCGGCGGCTGACAAGTACACCTATACGGAAATTAGGCTGAACTGTAACCAGCCTATCTGGAATCTCCATTTTATCCCTGGACATGAAAGTATGCATGAGCTGAGCCGGACTATATTAGTATTTTGTGCGTGTCGAGCGCCATTGCTTGGCTTCTAGCATGTACTTTATCGGGCTGCCACAGGGTTAGGCACGTATGAAGGTGTGATTACCCATGTAGAAGCGATGTACCATACCGCATTAAGTAGATAATATTGTGATATACTTTCAGAGAATTTTTAAGCGTTCGTTGTATGCGTATACATACGTACGGAGTACGTATATACATACATAGACCTTGTCCTTGCGAGCTAGACTCGACGTATTGCTTCTGTAGGGAAGAGCCATATTTTCGTCAAATAGACACTCATCTCTGTACATGTTCATGATGGATGGCCCAACGACTCTCGGCATCTCCTTCGCCTATTAAGGTTGAGCTCCGTCACGAGTTCAAGGCCATGATAATTTACTCTTTACCTCGTAAGGAAAGGGCAACGAAGGAATCGCCAAGACCTACAAGCCTGGATCTTCGTCCACATCCAAAACACCCAAATAACTATTGGATTACGGTTGCGGATAGTGGAACTTACGCATACTCTGGAGTTCTTGTGACCCGAAATGGTCCTAGGGTTTCTTGGTGACCGGCTGTCATCAACTCACAGGCCGGATATGCCCGGCCCAGCCACCATATTGCAGGAGTAGTACATTTGGGATCCGCGTCCCTGCCGAAAAAAAGAAAAAGCGAGAAACGTTCAGAAGCTAAGATAGTTCTCTCAGTGAGTATCTCTCAAATTGATCGTCTGTCAGCCGATAGTATGTCATACGACTTGTTTTTCCATAACCAAATCCTCGGATCTGGAGGGTTCAAGGCACTTAGCGACCTGGCAAAGCGAAGCTAAAGAAGCCGCTGCAGGGATTGCTAGTGGCACCCAAGCTGAAAGGATTCTCCCTCGCAAACCCCCAATTGGCATGGTTTATATGCACGTCCAACAGTTTCAGTGGGAGGGGAAATCTATCCACCAGACATTTCCTCTGCCTACTCGCCGTACAAAGGCCATGCATAAGTGCAATGGACCCTGGACTTTTCTCAAATTTCGTCCTGGCCGAGACGCATATGCGCTTGTTGATAGGACGCGGCAGGATGAATGTCCACCTAAGATTCTGTCAAAAAGCAAAAATAAGATGTTACATCGCAGATTACCCCCCTTTTTAGTTAACGCCAGTGGTAACGATCATCGGGATTTGGAGTCACTCTGGTGTATCTTTGCTGTAGCATAGCCTGGTGTTGTGGAAATACCTAATTGAGTCATTGCTCGTTTAACTCTGGGTATTTCTCCGGCAAGCCAAGCATGCAGGTGAGGGTCTAGTCCGTCCTTTGACAGATGGCAACATTCGCACTGAAGCCAACTTGACGTCAGGATGAAGAAATATTCTTCGATAGTGCCCCTCGGGACGGGGTAAAACTGATAATACTAGCAAGTTGCCTGCTATTGAGTTACACGTAATAATTAAGAAACGCTAATGTGTCATGGAAACTCCAGATAAGACTATAGCACATATGTAATATTGGGGCATCTAGAACGTAACAAGGGTGGAAGCAAGGATAAACCCGTGAACAGTTCTTTTTCTTTAGTTTCCCCTCTCTTAACAAGGAGTCTAAACGGTAGGCGAAAACCCAACCTGGAAACACTAATCCCTCCATCTGTCACTAGGGGTAGGTCTAGTCTATAACTTCATTGTGATCTGCTGCTAGTGAGTAATGGGTTCACACAAGGTATGTTTCTGTCTCACATACGTATTATCACTGCTTTTTCTCTTCTGCTTGAGGTTGTAATAGTTTCCTGTCATTAGTACTATATATCTGCGGTGAATTTTGAAATTTCTGTGCTGTATACTTCCCAAGGTTTACCCTTACTAATATCAAACAGTAACTACGCGAATTTACTACCAAGGTATTGGGGACTTACCCCTCAGACCAAACTTTCCAATTGACAAATACGGATAACCATAATCAATGGATGGAGGTGCTGGTTGGTAGCAATGGCCAATCAAACGTTTTGGGTATCAGGTAACGCGATAATATAAAGTTAAAAAGGATCGCTTCCGGACCATTCGGTCGGGTCGCGAGTCAATCGGTGTAACACAAGGTACCGAGTACCTGGTATCTATAGACGTGGCCTTAATGTCAGATTCTTATACCGCGGCGAAAAGTTCTTCCAAAACTGCATTAATCGTCATTATTTGCCTAGAAAAGAAGGGTTAGGTTGTACGGAGTACAGGATCCTGGCCCTTTCGAGAAGACGGGAGCTCGAGTTTTGCAAGTACAATACATCAGAGAAGGATGAATGTGGCAAAACTAAATATCAATCAAATTTCGTACAATTCACCCCAATTCTTCCCCAGTGTGGTTTCTCTGCATACATTTGTTTCCCGAAGAAAGCATGCTAACCCAATTTTGAGAATTGCAACCACAGCTGTCTTCGCCCGTTTTTCAAGTCGCTAAGATTTTCTCAACGGACAGTAAACTGCCCTCCATCGGTTGTTCCTTATCCGTCCTATTTGTATACAATGTTAGACGTTCGATTATCGAATAATGGCCTTGTTAGATGCCCACTCACCTGGTTGTGATGCGGATATCTGTCTGGATTCTTGGTATGCCCTCCTGGTGAATCAAAGTATGGGCATATCCAATGACTCGGGCGACTTGGTCCCAGGGTCCCTCTAGATCATTCAATTAGTGGCTCCGGTTCATCATATTTGCTTACACGATCTGAGAGTCATCCTGAATCGCCAAAACCATAATATAACGTCATCTCGCCAATGGTCAAATGACAGCAACTTACCAACAACCGTCCCAGTCGCAGTCATCTGATACTTCAGGCCAGACTTCTGCAGCAGGTCCTGAATTTCTGCGATCTGCTTGGAGAATGATGCGCTCTGCGAGCCGATCTAAGAAGCGAGCGTCAGCTGAATGCATCCATTACGCAAGTCTTTGTTGCCATCTTCATGGCCCTCCACCACGATCGTTAATTGGAACACGGAATACCTACCGGAACCAAGGAGAAATCGGCGATGCAGGTCTGAGGTGTTGTCAGATCAGCTGTCGCCATGTCTGTTGCCGTTATCGTTCTCGTGACTGGTGCTACTCTGTATCAAAGGTGGGTACTGGAGGGTTGATGTTCCTAAGCTTTGGGAATATCTAAAAACTACGCAAACTCCGCTTGGATACTAAGCGGTTTATTATAGCTCACATTCTATCATATTATCAGAGTGACGTTCGTATTGATCATCGGCGTTTCTTGCAAATAACGAATGAGACTGTTGGTTGTTGTGTAGGTTATCTCGGCCAGCGCCTACAGTTGTGTTCCACGCAATACGGGCGGCGCCCAAACTATATTGATGGTGAGCTGTACGCTCTGGGCTCACTCGTTCCGTGGCTCATCTGCATGGCTTGGTGCCACATACGGATTACTTTAAACTTGATCTATCTCATGACTGACAGTTGATCGGCTATGTAGACGTCAATTTCCAAACATCCTTACCCTCACCTTTTTCCAGCGGTATCTCATAAACCTCTTATCATTTATAAGCTATGGTATCGATCGTATTAAATGCTAAATTCTTCGCCTAGCCCCGATAATAAGTTTCATCGATGGTCCTTCCTCGGCGTTGCTGCGGCTCACTACCACGAACATATGTATCCTCAAACAAAATGTCAAGTTTCGTCTCGGGCTCAGGCATCCTTTCAGCCTCGGCCACTTCATTGTTGACTTTGCTTCGTACATTTTTATCAATTGTTTTGGCGTCCTCCTCCGAGAATACACCCCACTCAATCAACCTCTCTTTGAAGGTAGAGATTGGGTCATTCGCACGCTGCTCTTTCAATTCTTCACGGCTTCGATATGCAATTCCTGGGTCTGACATTGAGTGACCCGCATATCGATATGTCAGGTACTCATAGACTAGGGGTCCATTTCCTGCTTGGACGAAATTTTTGCCATATCTGACTGCGGAAAGGACAGCAAGGACGTCCATTCCGTTGATTCGTAGTCCCGGGATGTACTGGCCACGCTTGTAGTACTCGGTCATGGCAGAGGCTCTTTCAACAGAGGTTCCCATGCCGTATTTATTGTCTAGAAGCACGTTAGTGCAATGAAGAACGTACCCCGAGAGAGTGAGCTCACTCTCACAGCCAAATATCACAGGTAGATTCCACAGCTTAGCCATATTGAAAGATTCGTGAACTTGGCCTTGATTGGCTGCTCCATCACCATAGAGATCGATGGTGACATTATTTGCATTGTTGTATTGTTGAGCGAACGCGATTCCAGCACCTACTGGGACGCTGGCTCCGACAATCCCATTTCCCCCAAAGAAGCTCTCGCAGAACATGTGCATAGAGCCACCTTTACCATAGGAGATGCCATCTCTTCGTCCAAGCAATTCCCCAACGATAGATTTCACAGTCCCTCCACGCATCAAGGTAAACCCATGGGAACGGTATGCTGTTATTAGTTTGTCATGCCTAGTAAGTGCATGCTCAATACCGACAGCGACTGCCTCCTGTCCAGTAGATAAATGGCAAAAACCGCGGATTTTCCTGTCTTTATATAATCCGTCCGCTGCAAGCTCCATACGCCTGCGAAGAGTCAACGATATTGCTCGGCCCGAAAGGGAAAAGAGACCAGAGAGATCAAGTAAACCTTATCAATGTCATATCATGGTATAACTGTTTGAGTTCCCTCTTGGTTGTTTCAACTGAATACGGAGGAGGGTCTAAATGATACGTATCGAAGCTATCTTCTGGTATCGGAACACTAAACGGTTTATCATCCTCCTTCAAAAACGTCAAATGTCATTAATTGCCTTCGATCAAAGGAATAATGCATTTGTCACTTACAGAAGTTATGTCTTCCAAATTAGCGACATGTGCTAGAGAGCGGCGGCAGGTACAAGAAAGGACTGGCCGCATCCAAGGGACCGCCCCAGCTCTTTTCAAGGATCTTGAAAGCATAGTTTAGGTTATAGCAATAGTGCCACTGGCTACTATGCGACCACAATGAATATAGGGGAAATTAGGGAACTTTTGACGTGCTTTAAGTCCCAACTTAAGTTCTTAGAATCTGTAGAACTTATAGAATTTGTCACTCTGGAGTTGGTTTAATGAGCGCTTCCAGTGGACCATCCAGATCAACAATATGTGACGCAATTGTTAACTCATCAGGTCACATCCTCAACTAAGTATTACTTTTAACCTTTGGGCAAGTCTAAAACTACTATCTATAAAGTTCTGGAATTGCTACGCTACCTATTGTCCGAAAGGACATCTAGTCAGTCCACAGGCACGTCCAATAAAAAGACCTATAGCCACTTTGCATATCGACTCGAATCAATATTACTCGATCCGGAAATGACACCAATTCGGACCGGATCAACTGTGCATCCGTGATGACGCATTGTTGCTCTGAACAATTCTGGAACTAGTTTCAAAGTTCCAAACACATCAGATCTTATGCTTGTAAATAAATAGGCATAAATTAATGCTGTATCTCATGCCTATTCCTTCGCCGAGTGGAGGGTCATCGTTATTTGCGCTCTAATTAGCATAGCGATGAAGTCACCAAGGCACTTATCGCAGTTCCTAGTTTACCACATCCACGCGTTGAGACGCGTTTGACTATTTATCTGATCAGGCAAACCTTCAGCCCTATGGTTCCGAATACGTCCTGCTGAAAGTATGCCTCGCACGACTCGTGCCCGTTCGAAGAAGAACGCAGCCCCTAGCGGTCGCCATTCAAGAAAACAAGATGATGAGATCCCAGAAGTATACCAGGAGATGCTGGCAGAAGCCGAAGCTCGAGATCCCAGCAGCCTAGAGAACGATCGACCAATAAAAAAGCGAAAGGTACAAGGGAATTCACTGTCGTCTTCTACTCCTTCTCAGATTACAAAGCAAGGAGATCACAGTCCATCAAAGAAGCAAGAAAATGCCAAAGAAAATGTCAACCAGCAAGTACAAACGGTGTATGACTCTTCTTCTGATGATGAATCGGAAATGGAGTGGGAAGAGGTCGACATTTTGCAAGCATCTGCTGCTCCTATTCAACCAACTACTGTTCCTGGAGGAGAAAATGAGACCATGCAGATCACTCTTGAGCCTCATCAGGATCAAAAGCGAAAAGTAATTAGAAGGCGGAAGCCAATCACAGCAGCTGAGAAGGAGATGAGATTACATGTCCACAAAGCCCATCTGCTTTGCCTCTTGTCTCATGTCCAGTTACGAAACCTCTGGTGCAACGATGAAGATATTCAGGTACGCCTTGGCTTTGGCACGATCCTGTTCGCACCTCAACTAATATGAAACCCAGGGGTTTCTTAAACAGATGTTGACAAAACGCGTGATCTCTCTTCTGAATCCGTCGCAGGAACAGCCACAGTATATAAGGTCTACAACGTTCATTGATGGACTTAATCAGGCCAGCGATGCCTTTCTAAACAGATTCAGAGTTACTATGCCGGGTTTGAAGCGAGCTCATTGGGCAGATGACTCTCTTTCCTTGAAACAAAGAGTGGTATTGTACTCAACTTTTGTAGTATAAGGGTCGTGCTTCTAATGCCGTCCTAGGAAGATATTAAGTCAGACGCAGAGGTTTTCTTATCGAAGGAGGATTTTCTAAAACAGGCTAAGACACTTCAAGGCTCTCGCGATTTTGGTGCACAGCTGTTCTGTGCTCTACTGCGCTCCGCAGCTGTGGAAGTTAGGCTCATTTGTTCATTGCAGCCATTGCCATTCACTGGGACAACCAAAAAAATGACGCCTACCAAGCCGGGACGGCAGATCATCGGGATCTCGTCAGATGATCATGATACCTCTACCGATGATTTGACAAAACGGAGGGCATCGCCAACACCGCCAAGGACCAGACGTCTTGGTCGGCCACAATTTAAACCCTCAACTCCGCCGAAGAGCTTCATTGCCAGTATGTATTGCCACAAAAAAAAGGCATCTGAATAACCGTATTAACGACTGAAGACTCACGACCTAGTATCCGGGAATCATTGCACCCGGTATTCTGGGTCGAGGCTTTCAACGAAGCGATGCAGAGGTGGGTTCCTGTTGACCCATTGGTGACGAAATCGCTTGCGAAACCTCGCAAATTTGAGCCGCCATCAAGTGATCCGTATAACTGTATGAGTTATGTTATTGCATTCGAAGAAGACGCTTCGGCAAGAGATGTGACGCGCCGCTACTCCAAGGCATTCAATGCCAAAACACGCAAGCTACGCGTGGAGGCTACCAAACATGGGGAAAGGTGGTGGGACCGGGTTATGCGGTTTTATGAGAGACCTTTTCTCGAAGACCGTGATGAAGTGGAAATTAGCGAGCTTACGGCCAAAATTGCTGCGGAGGGTATGCCCCTGAATATACAAGATTTCAAAGATCACCCGATCTTTGCGCTCGAGCGACACCTTCGCCGTCATGAAACTATTTTCCCGAAACGTGTCGTTGGACAGGTTAGCGTTAGCAAATCAGGGTCAAAAGATCAAGCTTTGGAACCTGTTTATCGCCGATCTGATGTCCACGCTTTGCGAAGTGCGAACAGCTGGTTTCGGTTGGGACGGGACATAAAGATTGGTGAGCAGCCATTGAAGCGTGTTAAATCCCGTAACAATCAAGCCATGGCTGTCGAGGAAGATGGTAGGGACTCTGAACAGTACACTGAAACAGCTTTATACGCTTTTCACCAAACCGAACTATATAGACCACCATCGGTCGTCCAAGGGAAGGTTCCAAAAAATGCCTTTGGAAACCTAGATATCTACGTACCGAGCATGGTTCCCCCTGGAGGAGTCCATATCAAGCATCCTGATGCTAGGCACGCCGCGAAACTCTTGGGTATTGACTACGCAGATGCCGTAACGGGCTTTGACTTCAAAGGGCGCCATGGGACGGCCGTAGTCCAGGGTGTTGTTATTGCTAATGAGTATGGGGAGGCATTGAAGGAAGTTCTAGGTTGCCTTGAAGACCAAAGGTTGCAGGCTGAGCTCGAGCAGAAATCGGCCGAAGCGCTTCGGCTTTGGAAACACTTTTTGCTTAGGCTTCGCATCGCAGAAAGAGTCCAAAGCTACGCGGTTGAAGGCGAAGAGGCTGACGACGAGGAGAGCATTGCATCAAGCACTAATGGCCACGGCAACCCAGAAGAAATCGGCGGTGGGTTCATCCCTGAACCAAACCAGGAAGCTATTGGTGCACAGAAAATCGCTCAAGAACGCCACTTTGAAAGCCTCACTGCGCCCAAAAATGATGATTTTCTCAGCGGAGGATTCATTCCTGACGACGGTGAGACCCATCAGGAAACCGCCGAAGACTCGGTTCCAGATGTGGCAAATGGTCCCTCTTACACAAATAGAGCAGAACCGTCTCTATACTCGCTTGTTGTCGTGTCAGACGATACGAACACTGTTCAAGATATAACGCCTTATCAAGGCGCCACAATATCGCCACCCGAGGCTTCAGCGCCCAACTCAAGAGACAAAGAAGATCCTAAGGATGAAGACCGAAAAGTCTCCGAATGGGTTTTGTCAAATACTCCTATCTTGATTGAGTCGTCAACGACAGCAAACACACCCTCTGCGAGTGTTGATGTAACTTCTCAGCCTCTCTCAGCAACGCAGCCACGAATTGAATCTCCCGTGACTTCAGACAAAGGATCGACTAGTAATGAAGGGTCCCTGTTATCGCATGATCCAGAAGATGAAGATGCGATTCCAGAGTGGCTCATGTCTGATTAACGAGCCCAGGCCTCTCGCCACGTGTGCAGTCTACCTTTAGATCAGATTATTATTAAGCAATCTCAAATACACTATAATTATACTAGATACCCAATAAGTTGCGCATGTGGTTGTTAGCATTGTACAACATAGTTAGATGTAATTTGCCTTAAGGTTCAGGCATCAGAACTCCCATTCAAGTTAAATGGTTTTGTTGTGCACAGACCATCTGTTTATGGCTTAGCGACGCGTGGTCGCGTAGTTATCGCCAGTCGTCACAATCAATAAGCAAAGCTAAGACAACGCCACCAAACATTCTCCATTTAGTAACCGGCAATAAAATCTTATGGCTCATTACAACTTACTACACCATCTTCACGATTTGATTTGCGATGAGACGAGGTGATACAAGTGGGACGAACGCGCAGACCAGCCAGGAACAGTTTCAAACTCCGGATAAACCTCCTCCAGGTCCTTCAACGGCAGCTGACAGCTTGAGAGGGCCATTGACTTCAAAGAAGAGGACTGGAACACCTGCATCTTCAGCTTCTACATTTAGGTCCTGGAAGAGGACCTCAGTTGCCGGAGCTCGAGATCAACCGACACTCACTCAGATCGATTTCGTGACGCAGGTATCACAACCTCAGTCAGATGACGATGATCTCGATTATATTGACGAGACACATAAGAATGGCACAAGGAAGCATAAGGAGGTTATCGAGATAGCAGATGATTCTGGAAATGATGCCGATTATCGACCACCTTCGAATTCGCGAGTCTCGCGAGCCCGCGGCGTCCGATTTGATCGGGATACGAATAGTTTCGGGTCTAAGCAGCCCAATGTGGTCAGTCAAGGTGACGGGCCTTCAAAACGGGGCCGAAGAAAAAGTGGTGACGGTGCCAAGGGTAACAAGAAGGGCAAGGACAAACAACAGAAAGATAAAACCTTGACACAGATGGACTATGTAAGGCGGTACTTGAAGATCGAGCCGGATGAGGATGTCAAATTGGAGTACACATATACCACTCCGCTCAAACATGAGCGAAAATCTCATAATTTGCATCCTCCAGATGCCGAAGATACGGCCTGCAGTCCGAATGATACCTATGCCACTTCAAGTGAGTCCAAGAGACAGAAACTGAATGACGAGTCCCGATCAAATAGAGAAGTGAGACCAGCCGAAGATTCCAAAGCGGCTCGATTTTTTGGAGGTCCAGTAACGCCGCGGAAGTCTAGGCGATCGGAGATACCCTCCTCTCAGTCTCCAGAGAGTCCCGGACTTGCAATCATCACATCGTCGCAGTTCCGCGGTGCAACTCGCTCTCCCCTCAAACAGGAGTCCC